TAAATTGAAAGTCAATATAAAATTGAGAATTTAAATCACCAAATCTACATAAAATGGAGAATTTAAATCATCAGATCCATAATTCATGCTTTAAACCAAAGAAATGGTAAACTGGTGATTTAAATGATATTTTTCCTATAACCTGTCAGAAGTAAGGGAGCCTGACCGGAGAAAGCGAACAATGGAGGACGGCGAAATAGAGGAAGGAATGGTGACTACCGACGAAATCCCGACGCCGGAAGTAACCACCGAGACTACACAACCACCGCAAGAACCGGGTAAATCTCCACTCGAGCTACTTCGAGAAAGCAAAACCTCCGTAGAAGAAATCATTACAAAGATGCTCTCAATGAAAAAACAAGGAAATCAAAAATCCGAGATTCGAGAACTCCTCACACAAATGTTCCTCAACTTCGTCAATCTTCGTCAGGTTCTCTACCAAATCTTCACTCTCTAGTGTTCTTTCTCTGAATACGAAACTTATTAGGGTTTGATTCAAATTTCGCAGGCGAATCGTGCGATTTTGACTGAGGAAGATAAAGTGAAAGCGGAGACGGAACGAGCAAAGGCACCAGTTGATTTCACAACATTGCAATTGCATAATCTTATGTATGAGAAGAGTCATTACGTTAAAGCTATTAAGGCTTGTAGAGATTTCAAATCTAAGTATCCTGATATTGACCTTGTTCCTGAACAAGACTTCTTTCGTCATGCTCCTGACGCTATCAAAGATCAATCGCTTTCAAGTGATAGTTCACATGTTTTGATGCCTAAGAGACTCAATTTTGAGCTTCATCAGGTTGGTTTATCACCATCCCTGAAATTTATTCAAGTTCCTCCTCTCCATTGAATGTGAATGTTTAGATGATTTGATTGGTATAGATGAACTGGGAATAGCGGTAGCGGAATAGTCGAATTAACACTTGAGCTGGATAGAGTTTTTTGCAAAATAATCATAATTGTAGCTATGTGAATAACACGCATATAGTGGGAAATGATATACCGTTTCATGAGCTTTATGTTTTTTGATTCAGAGGAAAGAATTGTGTAAGCAACGAGCGAGATTGGAGCAACAGAAGAAGAGTTTACTAGACACTATTGCAGAGCGTAAGAAGTTTTTGTCAAGTCTTCCTCTGCACCTTAAGTCTCTGAAGAAAGCATCGCTTCCAGTACAGAACCAGTTGGGTATCCAGCACACAAAGAAACTGAAGCAGCATAATCTAGCTGAGCTGCTTCCTCCTCCGCTTTATGTAATTTACTCACAGCTCTTGGCACAAAAGGAAGCTTTTGAGGAGAGTATCGAATTGGAGGTAGTTGGGAGCCTTAAGGATGCTCAAGCTTATGCTAGACAACAATCGAAAAAGGACTCGGGTAAGTTGTCTTAAAATTTTACTGTGTTATCTAATACTCAAACGAAAGAAATGCTAATTTGCTATTGATTTTTCAGGTATGTTGAATAATACAGAAAGTTCTAGGTTGGAGGATGATGGACCTGATGACGATGATGATGGACAAAGGAGAAGAAAACGACCCAAGAAACTTACTAGCAAAGAAGGTTCTGACAAGGCAGGATTATATCAAGTCCACCCTCTCAAAATTGTCCTTCACATATATGATGATGAGATACCTGATACAAAATCCCTCAAACTTGTCATTCTCAAGTTTGAGTACGTGCTGAAGTTGAATGTTGTATGTGTTGGCGCTGAAGGCTCTCAGGATGGACCAGAGAAAAACATCTTTTGTAACTTATTTCCAGACGACGCTGGACTTGAGCCTCCTCATCAGGTAACTTTTCGTTTTTGTGTTTCAGTTTTCTATATGTGACTTTTGACGACTTTACTTTCAAAAATGCATACTCAATTCTCTTTGTATGGCTGGTCTTCCTTGCAGTCAACCAAGCTCATCCTTGGTGATGGTCAGGCATTTGATGAGAACAGAACTTCAAGGCCTTACAAATGGGTGCAACATTTGGCGGGAATTGATATTTTACCAGAAGTGTCACCGATTATATTAGGCGAAGAAGCTCATAACACTGACTCAGCTAAAAGTGATACGTTTGTGCCTGATCTTTCATTGTATCGCCAGCAGCATAGAGTGCAAACAGTTCTGCAAAGAATACGCTCGCGGAAAAAAGCGCATCTGGCCCTTGCGTGAGTTCACCGCTCTGTATGTTTTCCGTCTTAATTAAAGAACACAATGCAAAGAATTCCAAAATTCTAGACCACCATGATAATCCAAAATGCCATCAGCATATGCTTTGTACATTTAATAGTTTGGTTTTGTCAATAACTTGGCAGTCAACAATTTAATCCCTCTGCAGCATTGTCAACCTTCATAAGAGTTTCCATGCATATGTAATCATTTCTTTCGATATGTTTATATTTGCTGAATACTTTGGAAACTTCTACTGGCTACAGGGAACAGCTTGATTTGCTTATGAAACATGAGTTACCAGTGGTGAACTGCGAAGACGCTCCTTGGGCACTGCATAAGGTTCTCTGTGCTTTGGATTCCTGGTTACATATACGATCTTCAGATAGTAAGTCATGCTCTCTGACTCTAAACAGTGTGGAACAAGTTCCAGAACCTATGGAAATCGATGTAGATGGGAGATCTGTTTCTGGAAAGGAAGATCTTGAAAGTATACGGGAAGATGGAGAACTTCCCTCTTTGGTCACAGCAGCTGCTTCGTTAACCAGTTCCAATCATACCCCATCGAAAGTATCTAATCAAGCACGGTCAAGGCAGTTGGCCTTGATGACAAAGAACCTAGATTCTCCAATTAGCAAAGGAAAGTCACCAAGTTTCAAGAAATACGAAGATGATTTGGATCTTGTTTTGGATGATAGTGAAGTAGATGAGCCACCAACTGAGGCACATGTAGAAGCGTTGTGCCCTGAGAAAGCTGATAATTCATGGGTGGATTATGGTGTGAGAGAGTTTGCACTTGTGCTCTCCAGGAAAATAGATGGCGGAAAATTGTGGAAGTTAGAAGCAACGGTAACTTCTAAAACGCAATCTTCCCTATATTGTTTTCTTTCTTTAGTGTTAAATCGAGTTGTATTGGCAGGTTTGTATTAGCATGGAGTATCCTCTTCGACCTCCTTTGTTTTCTCTGTCTCTCCATGCTTCTTCTTCGTCAGGAAATGGCAATGGGACAAATGAAAGTGACCATTACAATGAACTTCGAGCAATGGAAGCAGAAGTAAGTGTTAAGCCCACTACCTTATACTAATCTTTTACTCGATGACACCAACAATAACACCTTTGTTATCTTTTCGTGGCGGTATCAGGTCAACCTTCATATGTTGAAGATTATTCCTTCAGATCAAGAAAACTATCTCCTATCTCATCAGATCAGATGCTTAGCAATGTTGTTCGACTATTACGCGGACGACCCATCTCCAGATTCCAAAAGAGGAACAGCCACAACTGTGGTTGATGTCGGTTTGTGCAAGCCTGTAGATGGTAAGCTTCTTGTGAGATCATTCAGAGGCAGAGATCACCGGAAAATGATCTCATGGAAGGGCAAAGGATGTGCATCGGGTTATCCATGCTAGGAGATTACATCACCGCCACTCATTTCTCTATATTATCTTTCTCTGTTGGTACAAGCCAAGGTTTTTGCATGGAACATTTTTTCTTAGTCGTATAAACTGTTATTGAAACAGCCTTCTTGTTGAGTGAGGACCTGGTCTGTTTTGGTCTAGGTTTGAGCATTAAAGGGTTATTATGCTATGTGATTGTTCCATGTTGATAGTACATGATCATTATCGAGTGGATAACTCTAGAGGGCCGGCCCATGGGTAAAGTCCAACAAGTCACATTAATTTCTTGACCAAGAGTATTATCAAATTCTGGCAACCTCTCCTCCTCCTTAATCTTTGAAACCAGTTTTTTCTTGTATCTTTAATCTCTCCTAAGTGCTGAATTTCTTCTTATCTCATGTATGTCTTCTTCTATTTTTCTTTTTTTCTTTCTTATCAAGTTTGTCAACCATCTCTGTTTTTTTTTTTCTCTTAGCACTTAGTTAGAAATCAGAAAAATTAATATACTATGGGTTCGTTCAACAATTGAATGATTAGGATTTTAGAAACTAAGATTGTAAATTATATTCAAAAGTACTAATCGTTATGTTGTGTTTATGTTCTGATTTCTACTTCTCTGTTTCTATTTCTGCTTTCTTATTTTGAAATCTGGTTATTTTAATCTAATAATCTGTAGTACAATGGCACCTGGAGTTAGAAGTCAACCATGTGGAGCTGACAATAGGAAGAGAAAGGCCCGACGAGATGAATTGGTAAAATCTCAAACTGGTGATATGTTAAGGTACGTTACGAGAACTCGAACTTCTGCAACTAATGAGACTGCTAGAGCTGAGATAGATAAGGAAGATGAAGGGGTTATTAATATGGAAGAGGATGCATATGAGAAGAGTACAGAAAATGTTGTGGAGGATGGTGGAGATGGTATGAATGAGAACAGAGAAAAAACGTTTGAGAATGAAAACATAAGAGAAGATGAGAAAGTTGATGAGATTAGAGTTTCTTATGAGAATGTGGATATGAATGATCCTGCAAATTGGGAGAAAATTGATCAGAAAATGAGAGATTATTTGGTTGAGAAAGGTCCCCCTCCAAGACCACCAACCGATTACCGTTTCCCAAGAGATGAAATTGATAGATCTTTCACTTAAGAAGAATGAGTAATGGGGAAAAACAAGATAGACGATGGTTAGTTTACTCAAAAGTTAAAGATAAAATCTTTTGCTTTTGTTGTAAATTATTTGATCAAGAAACGAGTCCTACTCTATTAGCAAGTAGTGGGTATGATGATTGGAGAAATGCATCTCAAAGGCTGAAAAAACATGAAACAGCTCATCATCATATTGTTTGCATGACTCAATGGATGGAGCTAGAAGTGAGATTGCAAAAAAATAAAACTATTGATAAGCATATGCAAGAGGCAATTAAGAAGGAGAAAAAGCATTGGAGAGATGTAATGTTGAGAATAATTGGAGTGGTAAAGACTCTAGCTGAAAGAAACTTAGCATTTCGTGGAGGTAATGAGAAGGTTAATGATCCAAATTGTGGAAATTTTTTGGCATTTATTAGGATGATTGGAGGTTTTGATTCGGTAATGAAGGAGCATATTCGGCGGATTAATAATGGTGAAATTTATCACCATTTTCTCAGTCATAAGATTCAGAATGAGTTGATAGAATTGCTTGCTAATGAGGTCAAGTTGATGATCTTAAAGAAGATTCAAGATGCGAAGTATTTTTCAGTCATTCTTGATTCCACTCCCGATGTTAGTCGTAAAGAACAAATGACTTTTTTAATTAGATGTGTGGATGTTTCGACGAGTTCACCTAAGATTGAGGAGTTCTTCTTGACATTTTTGGAAATTAAAGACAAGAAGGGAGAGGGTCTTTTTAAGACTCTTCAAGATGCATTGATTGATCTTAAGTTGAATATCGATGATATAAGAGGGCAAGGATATGATAACGGCCAAAATATGAAGGGAAGACACAAAGGAGTTCAGAAAAGATTGCTTGATGTACACCCAAGGGCGTTTTATACTCCATGTGGATGTCATAGTCTTAACCTTGCACTTTCTGATATGGCTTCCTCATCCAAAAAAGCTATTTCTTTCTTTGGCATAATCCAGCGAGTATATTGTCTATTTGCAGCTTCAACCAATAATTGGGAAGTGTTTAGAGAGATGGTGAATGGTATTACACTTAAACCACTATCCCAAACCCGTTGGGAAAGTCGCATTGATAGTGTTAAGCCAATAAGATTTCAAGCTTCAAAAATACGAGATGCACTCTTTTATTTGGCGGAATACAGTGATACTCCAGGACATCGAAGTGATGCTGAGTCTCTTGCAGAGAGTGAAACACATGGAATTGGAGGATTCGAATTCTTATTTGGAATGGTTATTTGGTACGATTTGCTTTCTGCTGTGAATATAGTGAGCAAAAGCTTACAATTAGAGGATATGGATCTTGAGGCTGCTCTTTCTCAGTTAGGAGGACTTCTTGCTTATTTGAAAAACTATAGAGAAACGGGTTTTGAAAAAGCAAAGGCTGAAGCTAAACAAGTTGCCATTGAGATGGAGATTGAACCTGTATTTCCTACGAAACCGAAGCGCTTGATTAAAAGAAAAAAGCAATATGGTGAAGATGTTGAGAAGGCTGATGAAAATACGACGTTAACTGCGGAAGAGAGTTTTAGGATTGATTACTTCATCAACATAATGGATCAAGCTATAATGTCCCTTGAGGTAAGATTCGAGCAATTTCAATGTTATGAGAAAATATTTGGATTTCTTTTTGGTTTGAGGAAATTAAAGTTAGCAACAAATGATGAGTTGATGGCATCTTGTATGAATCTTGAAGCTTCTCTAAAGCATGGTATGCATTCAGATGTTGATGGAGAAGATTTGTTCATGAAACTCAAACTTCTTAGCGAAGTGTTGCCAAAAGAAATCACAAAGCCGGTTGAAGTGTTGGAGTTTTTGAAAAGAATGGATGGTTGTTATCCAAACACATGGATCGTCTATCGTATATTACTCACAGTTCCGATTTCAGTGGCTTCTGCGGAAAGAACTTTTTCAAAACTGAAGCTCATAAAGAATTATCTACGTTCGACTATGTTCAAAGTTATGATTGCTAGAACTTAGAATATAAAGAACAACACTTCTTTATTAGATTTAGAAACTCTCACAAAACTAAATCTCTTCTCTCTAAGTCTCATGAAACATCCTTCCATGGACCCTTGTATTATATAGAACTTGGACATCTCCCAAGTCTATTAGGATTAGGTAAAACACAAACTCTATCTAGATACTTTATCATTATCTAAAACATATTTGTGAATATCCTTACTTATCTCTAGAAGCTTCTTCTTCTAAGAGATAACTTCTTCTTTAAGTCTTGAATTATCCAACATTCTCCCCCTTAATTCCAACTTGAATTTTGGGAGTCTTGATCTCTTCAACACCGATTAGGTCCCGCATTTCCTTGAACTTGAATCTTCCCAATGGCTTGGTAAGAATGTCCGCCTTTTGGACCTCTCCGGGTACATGCTCAACTTCGATTTGTCCGTCTTCCACACATTCCCGAATAAAATGATACTTCGAAAGTATGTGCTTACTTCTCCCATGAAACACCGGATTCTTGGTCAAAGCTATAGCCGATTTATTGTCAATCCTTAGTAAGACCTTCTCGCCTTCAACGCTTAGTATCTCACTCAACAATTCTTTAAGCCATATAGCTTGTTTCGCGGCTTCCGTAGCTGCCATGAATTCCGCTTCGCATGAGGACAATGCGACCTTAGGTTGCTTTTGTGATGTCCAAGTAATCGGTGATGAACCAAAGTAGAAAACGTGTCCCGAGGTGCTTCTTCCGTCGTCAATATCAACATTGTGACTACTATCACTATATCCGGTGATTCTCCTTGACCCGTCTCTCTTGAAAAACAAACCAAAGTTTGTTGTTCCTCTTACATACCTTAATATATGCTTGACCGCAATCCCATGAGAATTTCTTGGACTTTGCATATACCGGCTTAGAACTCCAACAGCAAAGGAGAGATCCGGTCTTGTGTGTAGGAGGTACCTAAGACAACCAATGGTTCGTCTATACTCGGTTGCATCAATCTCTGGTTCTTCTTCCAACTTGTTGATCTTTTGACTTGGATGCATTGGTGTATGAGTCAAGTTACACGATTCCATCTTAGCATTAATAAAAATTCCTTGAGCGTATCTTTCTTGCTTTATCTTTATCCCATCCACTCCTTGAATCACTTCTATGCCAAGATAATACGTTAACTTCCCTAGGTCCGACATCTCGAATTTCTTTGACATATCTTCTTTGAATTTGTTGATGACCTTAAGTGTGGTTCCCGTCACAAACAAATCATCCACGTAGATAGCCACAATCAAGACGTCCTTCTTGTCGTTCTTCCGATATACCGTCGGTTCCTTGATACACTTGTTGAAGCCCATCTCTCTTAAGACTTGGTCGAGTTTTACATTCCATGCTCTAGGAGCTTGTCGTAAGCCGTATAGAGCATTGTAAAGTCGATACACTCGATCTTCCTCACCTTTCTTCACAAATCCTTCCGGTTGAGTTACGTAGACTAACTCCTTTAAGTCTCCGTTTAAGAATGCAGTTTCACGTCTAGGTGGTGAATCTCCCAACCATTTGTTGCTGCTAAGGCTATGAGAAGGCGTATAGTTTCGAGACGTGCCACCGGAGCAAACACTTCATCAAAATCTACGCCTTGTTGTTGTACATAGCCTTTAGCTACAAGCCTTGCCTTGTATTTATTAACCGAGCCATCCGCTTTCTTCTTGATCTTATAAATCCACTTAAGACCAATAGGTTTAACATCAACCGGTTTATCAACGAGTTCCCATGTCTTGTTCTTGAGAATTGAATCCAACTCGGCTTGCATTGCATCAATCCATTCCTTTTGATGTTCAGCTTCAAAGTAATTTTCGGGTTCTCCGTCTACCGTAAGTAGTAACCTACCACTTTCTTGTTCTGCAAGCAACACATAATCATCAAGGTAGCTAGGTTGTCTTATCGTACGGCCATATCTAGTCACTACTTGTTGATTCTCTGCTCCTTGATTCACGGCATTGTCAACATGTTCTTCTTCTTCTACCTCTTCTTCTACCTCTTCTTCCTCGTCTTGGTCTATAGGATCTTGATCCGGATTATGGTTTTCATTGGCTTGATCATCACCATATCCATCTCCATTATCTATAATACCTCCACGAGTGAGTTTAAACATACCCGGTTCACCATTGGATTCACTTGTTGTAGATGACCAGTTCCAAGCTTTCTTTTCATCGAAGACCACGTCTCTACTAACAATTACTTTCCTTGAGACCGGGTCATAGAGTCTATAGGCTTTAGAACCCGGCTCGGTTCCAAGATTGACCACGCTCCTTGACCTTTCATCTAGCTTCTTAAGATGTGGTCCATTGATTTTAGCGTGGGCCATACAACCAAAGACTCTCAAATGTTCTATGTTCGGTTTCTTGGACGTGAAGCACTCGTAAGGCGTTTGACCCTTCAAAGCCTTAGTAGGAACTCGATTAATGAGGTAAGTTGAATGACGAACAGCTTCTCCCCATAAGTGATTCGGAATCCTCATTGCCTTAAGTAAGCTTCTTGTCATCTCCATTAATGTCCGGTTTCTTCTTTAAACTACACCATTTTGTTGTGGTGTGTAAGGAGCAGTAAGATGTCTTGTTATTCCTTTTTCTTCACAAAAGGAAGTGAATTGAGCTGAGGTAACTCTCCTCCTCTATCGGTGCGAAAAGTTTTCACGGTTAACCCGGTTTGTTTCTCCACAACTTCTTTAAACTTTTTAAACCGATTGAACGCCTCACTCTTTTCCTTTAGCAACATGGTCCACATGTACCTAGAAAAATCATCAATTAAGACGAATACATACCGGTTGTTAGCTGGTGTTGGTGGTGAGATTGGCCCGCATAAGTCGCCATGAACTAGTTCCAATGCTTGTGCCGCACGGAAGCTTGTTTTTATTGGGAATGAATTTCTTGTTTGTTTTCCGGCTAAGCACACGTCACACACACTCTTTTCATGTAGAGTTCGTGGCATTCCTTCGACCATCTCCTTTTGTACCATATTATTCATGACACCAAAGCTCACATGTCCAAGTCTTGAGTGCCACTTCCATGTTTCTTCATCATCACGTAAAAGTAGACACATTGGACTGCTTATTTTCATCGGGGTTTTGTAGAGTCGGTTTGGAGATCTTGTGACTCTTACAAGCAACTTTCCACATGGATCACTTAGTGTTAACATGTCTTCTTTCATGTGTACTTCGCACCCACCTTCAGTTGCTTGTCCAAGACTCAATATGTTGTGTTTTAGCTCGGGTATGAGATAGATGTCTTTGAGAGCTCTTTTCTCTCCGGTCTTGCACACAAAGACAATCGTTCCTTTGCCAATGATATTCACACACGAGCCATCGCCAAACCTCACTTTACCTTTTACGTTCTCATCTAGGTTTGAGAAGAAATCTTTGTTCCCCGACATGTGGTTACTTGCACCGGTATCTAAATACCAAATACTCGAGTTGTTATTAGTATCATAGTTCTTAGGGATTACCTTATCTTCGTTAAGGAATACGACTTCATGGACATATAAGGCATCGGCTTCTTGTGTCTCGTTTAGGTTAGCTTCTTGGTTTTGCATTGGTTTCTCGGGACATGTCAATGCAAAGTGACCCGCTTTGTCACATCTCCAACATATTACCTTGGAACGATCTCTTTTCGATTTTGGTTTTTCTTCCGCAGCTGTTGCTCCTTGATCTTGGCTATTGAATCTCCCTCGACCCCTACCTCTACCAAAGTTTCCTCTGCTCCTACCAAAACCTCGTCCTCCTCTGTTTCCGTAACCTCCTCTGTTTCCGCCGTAGCCTCCGTGGCTATTGTTTGAAAACAAGAGTTTACTTTGATCCTCTCCTTGAGTCTCATCCCTTATACGCTCATCGTAAGCTTTTATTCTCCCTACTATTTCTTCAAATCCCGTTGTATCTAAGTCTAGGACTTGCTCAAGAGAAGCTACAATTTGTATGAATTTTCCTCTAGGAAGACTTGTCAAGAACTTCTTCACCAACTTCGATTCGTCAATTGTATTTCCGAGAGAAGCAGATTGGGAAGCTATTCCCGAAATCTTTCCCGCAAAGTCATCAACCGAGTCGGTGTCTTCCATCTTCAACCGATCGAGTTGTGTCATTAGGGTTTGGAGTCTCGCCACTTTAACACGGTCTGCTCCCTGGTGACGAGATTTGATCGCAGCCCACAGCAACTTTGCCGTGCCTTGTTCTCCAATTTGTAGGATGAGGCTCTCGGGGATTGATTGAAATAGAAGAGCTGTCGCTACATTGTTCTTCTTTCTGTCCATTGTTCCTGGTTCTATGGTGTCCCATACTTCGCTTACACTTAACAAGATCTTCATCCTCATCGCCCAAACTGTATAGTTTGTTGTTGTTAACATAGGGCATTGGATCGTTGGGGCTCCAATGTCTTTTGTTCGTGTTGAAGGTTCCACGTCTCCCATCTTGGATACGTGAAGCTTTGATCGTCGTCTTCAATCGGTACTTCTCCTTCAAGCTCTGATACCAATTCAAAGTTATGATTGCTAGAACTTAGAATATAAAGAACAACACTTCTTTATTAGATTTAGAAACTCTCACAAAACTAAATCTCTTCTCTCTAAGTCTCATTAAACATCCTTCCATGGACCCTTGTATTATATAGAACTTGGACATCTCCCAAGTCTATTAGGATTAGGTAAAACACAAACTCTATCTAGATACTTTATCATTATCTAAAACATATTTGTGAATATCCTTATTTATCTCTAGAAGCTTCTTCTTCTAAGAGATAACTTCTTCTTTAAGTCTTGAATTATCCAACATATGTCTCAGGAGCGACTAAATGGTTTGGCGATGCTATCTATAGAACAAGATCTGGTTGAGAAGCTCGATTATTCAAAATTAATGAATGAATTTGCAAGAAAGAAAGCAACGAGGAATATCTTTCGTGAAGAAAAAAAATGATGCTTCTGTCTTTTTCTTTTGGTTTTAACACTTTTCCTTTTTTATTTTTTTCATGTTAACATTAAGTTTTAGAGA